CCAGTAAGGCAGAAAGTTCTTAGGGAGCACAGGTCAAGAAATTTCACAGACCAGGAATCTGTTGGTGAAGACTGGAGGGAGAACTGGAGAAGAATTAGTATGGGAAGTTGAGGGAGACTAACAGAAGTTAATGGACACTGACCTGAGACCAGTGACTCTTTATGTCCTGGCCTCGATGAAGATGTTGCATCCGGGTTTTTGGGACTTGGACTCCCTGTAAACCTAGCAATATGGTGGCCTGCTCTCTCCCCTGGTGCCTTGAAGAGGAAGCAGCAGTTGGCAGAATGAAGAACTGCACTTTAGTTAAACCCAGTAGTTAAGTGGCAGACACTACTGAATTGGTCAGTTTAAAGTCATAGAGCTTGAGGCCAGAGGCCACCACTAGATCATCTGATCTGACCTCCTGTGTATCACAGGCCACCAACACACTAAACCCAACCACTGAAATAAGACCAAAGTATTACAACCCTCAGGAGACTAAACTATTATGGACCACAGGCACAGAAGAGACGGGACGAAGACACATCAGTGCTTGTGGCCCCTGCAATGGCAGGGAAATAATTAAATGAGATATAGACTTAATCCTGGCTAGTGATCTACACGCACATGCTGCAGAGGAAGGCGAAAACCGCCCAAGGTCACTGGCAATCTGACATGGGGGACAGTTCCTTCCTGAGCCCACATACAGCAGTCAGTTAGACTCTGAGTGTGAGCAAGAACTAGCTAACCAAGCACCTGTGAGAGAATGCGTGATGCCACCCCAGAGCCCGGGTCCACCCCACCAATGTCCTATCTCCAGCCATGGCCATCCCTGATGCTTCAGAGGAAGGAGATTTAAAAAAATAAACTCCCAGAGTACATCGTGGGGGAAAATCCCTTCCTCACCCTTGCTGGTGGCCAGCTGAATTCCTGAAGCATGAGCTTTAGGAACATAAGACACAAACTGGAAGTGAGTACCGGTCTGTGTTGAAAGTGCCTGGATTACCACAGTTTTCATTGCCTTGAATGTACACGGTTCTGTGCAGGGAATATAGTTCTAACTACAGACCCAATTGATTGTGCAGTGTCCCCTACTGGTACAGGCATGAATAAGGTGTTGTAGAAGCTCAGATACCATTGGGCCCTTGAAGTATACAGGAAGTAATAAGTCATCCACATTTTTCCATCCATGTTGCAATGGTGATCCAATATCTGGTTTACCTGTGTGCAAAGACATCCAAAGCTTTGTTTACCAAAAGATGCTCCTTTCATATGATCTTAAAAATCAGCCTCACATGGTGGGAGTTGGGCTAGTGACTTGTTCTTTTTGATGGTGAGATTGAGGTGTAAAGCAATTCAGGTTTCTGTGGGTCTCCTTTTTTTTTTCTTGCTCTGATAATACAGAGCTGGCGCCAGTTTCCTTGATGCAGAAATTGGAATTTGTCCATCACTCTCTCCCAGTTTGGCAAGATCTCCTAAGCAGTAAGTTCCTTTAGTTTTAACAACATTTAACACAGATTTCCCCCCAATACCAAATAGGGATGACAGTGTCACATGCTGTTAATGTGTGTACAACAGAAAGTATGTTGCAGAAGTCAGGAGTGAGTGTGTCACAAATTGCATGCATAGGTATGAAGCAATGCTTGTCAGTTGTGCTGGTCTTGGTGCCTGTTTCAATCCAACAGGTTATCTCTGTGTTCTCTTTTTGGAAAGAGGTGAACAGCAAAGGCCAAAACATTAGTGTCTGGTGGCCTAACTACTCTGGTTCCTTTGACACCAAGAGACCCAGAATCATCCTTGTGTCCACTTCCTCCTGAGTACTGTATAAGTCTGGGGCTTCTTCAGCACCTCTACTGGGGATGGACTTTGCTAATTTCCTTGGAAAAGCCTCCAACAAGAGGGGTGTTTGTGCTGTGTGTACTCCTACGTGCTCAGGTGCATTTTGAACTATATATTCACAGAGGAATTTTACAAGTGACTGCTTGTTGGGTGCCATGTTTAGAAACTCTTTCCATGAAGTCCACCAATCCCCTGGTATTTCTTGCATCCAACTTCAGATCCTGTCCGGTGCTGTCTTTTTCATCAGTTTTCAGAGTTACTGTTGTGATACCTCTCAAAAACATTAATTACAGCATTAGGTTTGTCAGATCCTTTTAGGACCTGCCTCTAGTACTCAGCAGCCAATTCACTGAACGTGTGGAATTTGTGTCCAGCCATAATTTGTAAGATAGCCATGGCACCTGTGATGTGCATTATCGTTTCTTTGTTGCATGCTCTTAACTCATATACTCTTTCAGCTTAAGCCTCCAGCTGCTGCTCTAATTCAGCTTTGCCTGTTCTGTTCACTGTTACACGAGCATGGAAGAGGGTACATAGGCACAGGTCCCATGGGTCAACACTGAAACATCATCTCTGGATTTTGCTAATGACAGGGCTCTCCAGAAAACAGTTTCTGGACTGATCGCTCCTGTGATTGGCAAGGGAGGGGGAAGGACAGATTTAAATTTGGTCTTCTTGGCCATGTCAGCAAATGTTTTGATGCCAGATTTCTTGACTGGGCTGAAAAAAGCTACATGTCCCATCATAATCAAGTGCACCTCTCACAGATCTCTCCATTTGTTCTTCACCAAAATTTGCTATTTTCAGTAGAGACTCTTGTACGTTTACTACATCCAGTCCAGTAAATGTGTTGATAAGCACCTTTCCATGTGATTCAGGATCTAAGGAGTTTGCCAGATTGTTGATGACATGGTTTGTAAGAGCTGTAACATGCTTTTCATCCCTCTTCATTGCAGAGGCATGCGCTTGTTTGTGGACTTTGTCTTCACTACTTTTTATGTCACTTCTTTCTGTCATATTTTTTGCATATTCCTAACATGAAGCTGTGTATTGCCATTTCTAACACTAATACTGACCTGTGCATAAGTATAAGTGTCACTAAAAAACTCATTTCTAGAACAGTTCCAAGGCTAGTACTGCATTCATAGGTAATTAGAAATTAAAACAGGTTACCAGGCAGACTAGATAGTATATAGTATGTACATAAGCTTACAAATGGAGAAGCATTACGTAAGCAATTCACGTACATTTATATCTACCCACTGTGCAGTACAAATTGTGGGAACACAATGTACTGCTACTGGTGCACAGTCTTCAGTGTGAATCTGATCTAGTTTAGCAAATTTCAACTGAAAATATAGAAAACTACTGTAATCACTTGTGAGATGCTTTGACAATTAAGAATATAAGGTGTGAAAACATTTCATGTTCTACTGCAAACGGTTGATATTTGCCATTTTTGCCACGTGCCAAATAGCTTCATTTCAGGGGGAAAATATCTTGCCCATGCAAAAACAATAAAAATATTTTAATACATGGTTGTTTGGTAGCTTTGACCAACAAATACCACACTGAGGTGTTGAAATTAACTGAAACCATAAAAAGTATAATTGTCATGTTGCAGTTTTTCTGGAACTGTGCAAAAAATGACACTTTCTAATTTCGGACACCATTGTTTCACCTTTTCTGCAGGCTTATGACACCACCTGACAGCTCCACATCATACTTAATCAAAATGTACATAAAATAAGCTTTTAAATGATATATGATGTGGATGTATATAGGATGGGTACATTATATTCCAAAACTATGACCCTTTTTGGAGAATTGCCACATGCCTACAGACTTTGAAATGACTAGTGGCTTCCAGCCACCAGAATTCAGTAATAGTGGCAGCAGTATGAGGCTTTGGAGCAGAGGGAAATTTGAGAAGATAAACTCTCTTCCCACCAACTCCCAGTGCCCTGAAGTAGCTAGAGTTGCATGTTTTAAGGAATAAAATTGTTCAGACATAGTATTTTAAATCTGCAATCAATAGACAATTACCAGAATATAATATTACATTTAAAACAAAACTACATTAACAAAATACTAAAGTTGCAAAATCAATTCCTCAAAAGTTAGCAACTGCCAGAATTAAGGTTACCTGTGCAACTTTAATTCAGCCCCCTTTTGAATATGCATTATGATACAGTCTTTAATTACAAAAACACATTTTCCACAGGACCTCTGCCTCTTTCATCACACAGGATGGTCGGGGCTCAGGGAATGAATCGGGGTACATAATAAATAAGGCTGTTGTCTGTAGGATCCCTGCCTCCATTTATTGCAGAAGTTAGACACGAATGAGACAGGGATTGCAGGAAGAGGAAGGATGGTCTCATGAATAAAGCAGTTGATTGTTCCCTCAGATAATTGAGTTCTGCCTGCCCTCTGGCACAGAGTTCTTGTATGATACTAGTCATATCACTGAAACCAGATTTTTCACAAGTGGTCAGTAATTGTGTACACCTAACTTTCTGAGTGCTCTGCTTGAGACCCTGTAGTCTGATTTTCAGAAGTGCTGAGCACACAAAGCACTTTAAGTTTATGTTAATGGGAACTGGTACATTGAACATATAAAATGCTAAATACTTTAAAAAAAATTAGGGCTTAGTCACCTAGATACCTCAAAATGGAAACGCAAGTCAAAATTAGGGGACATGACAACTTTGGCCTTAATCTCTGTGTGCTTCAGTTCCCCATCTTTAAAATAGGAATAATATCACCTTGGCATTGGTGGTGTGAAGATACATTTAAGTTAAACTACATAATTGCTTAAATAAATGTGTTAAGATATAGTATATCCTCCTGGTTAGCAGAAAGCACCAAATTTAGTGTAAAAGCTATATTTAGTTGCCTGTCAACATGCCTGATTGGTTACTGACCAGTGAGAACCAACCTGTCTTTAGGAAAATAACTAAAAAATACAAATGAAAAAAATTTAAACTACTTAAATGTTGCCCGATTGGTGATTTAAATAATTTCACTTTAAATCAATCCAAGCTGGTTTTTAGGGCTTCTCGGCTACAGTCCCCTCCTTTTATAGGTCACATGCTTTCTATATTGGGGGATTGTATTTTTAGTATCATAAGAGATTTGGTGTACATAATATTATACTGTTTTTGTTTGTTTTCTTACAGGCACCAAGCATAGATGAAAAAGTAGATCTTCACTTTATTGCGTTGGTTAACGTAGGCAGTCATCTCTATGAATTAGGTAAGAACACTTTATTTCATTGCTCTTGAAACAGGTCAGTGTGATGATCTTGTCAGTTGTAGTCAGTAATTAAGCATTCTTCCTGTTGATTTCCCCCCACACACACACACACGGGAGGGCTAGCTCAGTGGTTTGAGCATTGGCCTGCTCAACCCTGGGTTGTGAGTTCAGTCCTTGAGGTGGCCGTTTAAGGATCTGGGGCAAAAATTGGGGACTGGTCCTGCTTTGAGTAGGGGGTTGGACTAGATGACCTCCTGAGGTCCCTTCCAACCTGATATTCTGTGATGATTAACCTTATTTTGGGGAGTGGGAGGGGGAGAATGTAATATAAAGGGCAAGATACAAACTACCATTGTTAGAAACTAGTCTGACTCAACAAAATTATGGTCCTAATCAGGAAAACACTTGTACTTCAGTTCCGGGGGGCGGGGGGGGGTTGGTTTTTTGGAGGGGGAGGATGGCTTCTTTGATGAATGTCATTTAATTATTATTTTCTTTGTGATTTTTTTCTTTAATGCTGAACAGTGCAAATTATAAATTCTAGCTAGAGGCATGTTACTGAATACCAGAATAGTCGGAATCAAAACGTGCTGCGTGAAGAATAGCATACTAACAGATATTCAAGATCTGCAATTCATTCATCGCAGGCTGGTTTTAAAAAGTTTGCTTCACATTTAATAGCTAATACTTCATTTGCATCTGAGCATTAGCTTCTGCATCTGAATTATTTTTAACTATTTGTTTCGCTGCAGGTTGAGCAGCACTAAGTTCTGCTCCGATATTCTATAATGCTCCTAGTCTCCTATAGAATTGTTGCTGGGCAACAAGATTTTGCTGTAGACACTTCTGAATCCTAGTTGAAGCAGTTTTAAATAGGTTTGGATAAAATCTCAAGTCACACAGACCTCTTTCCAGCATAATTCTCCAATATAGTATAATGAGAGTATGCTTGCCATATTTCATCTGACTACTTAACCTTTTCAAAACATATTCCTAGTGAAGCAATGCTCTCACACATCTTTAATAGTTTGGAGGCCAATGTAGTATAAAGGACATGTTCTGAATCAATCTGAACCTAAGAATCATCACTGTCAGCTGTACCTCATGAATGTTGTACGTTCTCCATAAAGTGTGTTTTATGAGCTTATATTTTAGATGCCAGTGACTCTCACTAAATAGCGGGGTAAAAGCTGTACGATGCAGCACAGATAACTTTTTGCTTTAAATTTCAAAATATGATTTTTAAAATAATGAACCACCCATTGTTTTAAGCTCTCCTCGCTGAAGTTTTGTGTCACTGTGTCCATGTTGCTTTTATATTTTATTCTGTCATTTACATGAGTTTAAAAACAGTGCAGAGCATATGATTATCAGCTTTGCATATTGTACACTCCCTGAGAATAACTAAGTAGGAGGAGATGAACTTTAAGGTATGCTTGAATTAAAAATATGTGTAAGATGTTGATGGTAGTTACACAATAGAATGCTAACACCACTTCCTTTACAAATACATAAATAACATCCTTACAATAACCCTTTCCTGTACCAGTATAAGAGATTAAAGACATAATATAGAGAAATAAGAAAAAGCGAAAATACAATAATCTGTAACTCTCTTCTCTTGTTTAAATAATTTACAGAAGTTCCTAAAACCTGTAATCATTGTGATTCCTATAAATCTGTTCAGATAATTCTGGCTGAGTCATCAGCTTTAGCCACTGTGGTGAATATTTGGACCCTGGCAGGCAGAAAGCTATGGAGTGGCACATGAACATAAATGCCCACACTACCATCAAAAACATGCTATTCATAGGTACATTCAAATGTTTTTGTGCCAAACTGCATTTAAGAATTCAGTCAAAAACACAGCTTGCGAAATACAATGACATTCAATTCTGTTTTCTGGAATGTGCTGAGGATTTTATCTTAAAGTTGCAGCTTCAGTCATTTCTGCCATGTACAAGAGGTTAGTCATTAAAGTAAATATCAAAAATGCTTTAATATATTATATTTCATAAGAGCCTACTTTGTTTTTTTTTAGGCTAATTATAGGTTAGAAGTACTGCCAAGTTCAAGGAAATTATGCCAGATTTTTAAAATTATGCCAGATTTTTAAAAAATGATTTGAGAACTAAAAAGAATTTGGCCTGGCAAGCTCAGTAGGCCAATGCTGCGGGTGGAGAAAAATGTCATGCCTTAACACGTTTTGACATTCATAGTTTTTCATAAATAGCTTGAAATATTTGCATAGTAAGCAACAAATGTAAATATGTTGAGAAATACCACACTTAATGGGCACTGTTAACATCACAATTGCAGGGTTAACTGTACACGTGTCTCCTCCAGGGTCTCCCCAAGGGCACCCTTTTAGTTCTCAGGTCTTTAGCTGTCACTTCTCACTCTGGGTGGGGACCCGTGTTCCTCTGCCTCAGGATCAGAGTTTTAGGTTACAGTCCCCAGAAATTCACTGTGCTTATCCCAGCAGGCATGACTGTAATCCAGCGCCTGTAGTTCTCATCTCTTCCATGGGGCATGATAACATTTACCAGTGGTTTCGCAAAGCACAGTACATTTACTTAAGACCACCGCATTACAAAGAAAACATATCATAAAACAGTGGTTTTCAAACTTTTGTACTGGTGACTGGTGACCCCTTTCACGTTGCAAGCCTCTAAGTGCGACACCCCCCCCCCCAAATAAATTAAAAACACTTTTTTATATATTTAACACCATTATAAATGGTGGAGGCAAAGCGGGGTTTGGGGTGGAGGCTGACAGCTCATGACCACCCAGGTAATAACTTCACGACCCCCTGTTTGAGACCTGCTGTCATAAAACAAGAAATGGTCTGTAGGCATGCTAAGCTTACCAGCTATCACCCATTCTCCACGTGGAGCCCCTAGGACGTTTCAAAGTCCTTCAAACCCTTCCAGCAGGGTTTTGCCCTCTTGGTTAAAGTCTGTCAGTTCATGAATCCAAGTGAGGGTTATTCTGAGTGAGTTCAGGATGACTCTATATCATTTTTCCTTCTTGGCTTTCTTGTTCTCTTAGACCCACTCAAAACCAGTGTGTACAATGGTACAATGTACACAGTTGTCTTATCTGTCTCAGGATTTGTGGTAATTCTCGCCCAGGGATTTTAGTTTCTGCAGGAAGTTCTGTAGCCCACCCCTATGGAGCCAGAATACAATCCCTAGCTCACAAAGATACATATACCATTTTATAGATATAAAACTCTTTGAAACTGCCCCACTTCGAAGGTCTCGTGTCGCATCTTCCCCACTGGAAGAGAGAGAAAATTCCTTTCACCCCTGCTAGGTATCAATACAAACTGAGCCACACATTCTTTCATAAACAATAAACCAGAAGTTTCCCAGTTCTGCACAATACAGTTAAAAAAAAAATTGAAACTTTTGTAGACCACTTCTTCTGGTAGGGTGCTAAACTAGTATTGTGAATCATACCTATATTAAATTATCAGTATTAACTTTACTGTATTTCTGTGACTTATATATCCTGCTCTTGAGTGTAATACTTCAGTTACATATTACTTGACCTTTAACCCCTTCAGAATTGGTGGGTTTGGAGTTCCCTTTTTAGTGCTCACCCCAGAAACTCTAGTTTCACTTGTCTGAGTATAAATTTGCATTCTCCTTTGAATGACTGTGCACATATTCATTCCACTTCAAGTGTATGTGGAGACTTTTACCAGCAGTACCACTAGCATGTGCCCCTGCTCTCCTCTTGCACGAGCCAAGAACATAAATGGAATGTGTCCGCCGCACCCTCTCAACTCCTTCCCACTGCCCATGGTGAGAACTGGAGCACCTCATAGTTTTTGCTTTGGTTCTCCAGCTTTAAATCTTTAGTGCATATAGTTCTTATAGTTAGCCTTAGAATACTTAATTAGTAATAATTTTAGGTAGTCTGGGGCTTTGTTATGAAAAATCATTAAGCTTTAAGCAGTGTGCCACGTGCAGAGCCATTATCCCTGTCATGGATAGGCACAGAAGCTGCTTAATTCGTCTTGGAAAGAGGCATGTGAGGGATAGATGCCCTATTTGTACCACCTTCCCTTTTTTAGTCCTTTGTTAGGAGTAAAAAACAGGAATTTCTGCCTCAAATTTCACCTCATGAAGGAGACTGTGTCCCTCCTCAGAACCAGGCCCCCATCACAAGCTGATGGACTCTGAAACTATGAGAAATGCTCGTCCAGCAGCTTCAACTTTGAAGCATAAATCTGGAGAGAAGCATCACTTTTCCTCTTCCCGATGGCCTCTTTAAAGAAATCCAAACATTCTGACCTGGACAAACAGTCAATGTTATGATCTTCTCTGCACAAGAAGGCTTCCAGTAAGTCCTCCAGTGCTGAGTTGGGGCCTTTGAATAAGCACAGATGCTCACAGCTCCATCTGAGGTGTCACTGTCAACTCTGGCTCCTCTGGAGTTGTTGAGACTGGTGCCTTCATCTTTGCTGTGTCCTCCTTTGGCTCCACTGGAAGAGCACCTGGCTGTCTTGGTGTTTTCAACTCCATAAGCCTACCTTTCCATAAGAGTCTCCTTTGTGTCCCGTTACCTGACTCCCTGTTGCTGCACCTGGATTTGGTCATTGTCAGCACTGTTGATGTGTGGTGTTCAGCCAACATACTCTCTACAGTACCTTATGCCAACCACTGGCTCCAGTTATGACTTTGGCATTCCAATCACCTCGTTGGGCTTTTTCTGACCAGATGGTTTCCCTGATATCAATGCCCCTCCCCCCGCCACCGCCACCATTTCCAGACCTCAAAGGTGAATGCTCCTCCCTTTCCAGATGAGTCCTACATCTTCTCATTAGACTCTGAGCATGAGGGGCCTGTATTCCCATCAGAGTCTTTATAGTCACTTCATAGACCTTGCCCTAGTGGCATGAGGCAGAAGGTACAGGACTGGTATTCCCATAAAGAGGCTCCTGTACTGTATCCTCCATGACTCTACAGATCTTTGCCTGCTCCAAGGGAGTCTAGACCTCCATTGGAGTTACAGAGCAAGGGGAGATCTCAGTCTCCATGCAGGAAACCTCTAGAGAGGCTCCTTCCGCCATCCCTCTGTCAGCTGTACTGGATCCTATTGAGGAAGGGGAATTAGTGGAGGAACCCCTAGATGTGCCTTCCTGTCCCTATATTTCATCCCCTTCCTTGGACAAAGCCATCACCCTGGAGTCGATATCCCCTTCTCCAGAGGGCTTTAAAGTCTTTCAGGGAAAAGTTGCCCTTCTCATTAATGAAGCCCAGCTAGAGCTGATGAAGACCCTCTGGCAAACCCCAGTCCCTGTACCACCTGCAACCAAGCAGTTTATTGGCTGAGCAACATTTCCTGAACGTGCAGACTTGCATACCTGCATGAGGTCAGTCAAGGTCTGCAGGTCCATCCACCAGTTCAGTGTGCAGAGGGGTTCCCTTTCTGTAGTCATAACTGACTGACTCTGGCTACAGATGTGTCTACCAGAGCTGGGGAACCCATCTTAGTCAGCTTTGAGCACAAGCTCTCTGTTCACCCCAGGAGGTCTCACTCCACATAAATATGTGGACCTCGGAGCTATTTATCAGGCCTGCAAGATGTTTATGTCCACCATCAAGAATCAGACGATACAAATTTTACAGACAACACAGCTGCCATGTTTTGTCTGAACAGGCAGGGAGGTGTAAAAGATCGTCTCGGCTATGCCAGAAAGCCATCCACCTGTGGAATTTATGCATCAGAAATGTCTCCCTGAAGTCATTCCACTTTCCAGGAATGAGAAACACAATTGCAGATTCCTTCAGCAGGGTTTTCATAGACCAACACAAGTAGTCGATCAGAAAGGACATTCTCCTCCAGATCTTCTACCAGCAGGAGTTCCCAATAATAGACTTGTTCGCAACCAACCTGGACCACAAGTGCAAGATATTTTTTCCAGGACAGGCTGCAGCCCATATTCCATCACAGATGCTGTCCTTCTCCCCAGTCAAGTCATCTCCTATATGCATTTCCTCCAATTCCTCTCGTTCCCAAGGTCCTGAGGAAACTGAAAAGAGACAAAGCAGCATTAATCTGACTGGAACCAGTCTCATCGAGCCCGTATTGGTTCACGGATCTACATCAATTTTCAGTCAGATCACTGATAACTTTTCCCCTAGTCTCAGAACTAGGGCAAGTCTCTGCATCCCCACCTCCAATCTTTTCACCTCATGTCATGGATGAACTTTGGTTGAATGCTCACAAGGGATTGTGCTCCCGAGATCTTCAGATCATCTAAATGAGCAGCAGGAAAGAATCTACTAGAGCGACATACGTATGCAAGTGGAGAAGGTGCTCTATTTGGGCACAATTTCAACGTTTACTGACCCGCTACAGAGAGATTTCACATGTATTGGACTGTTTGTTACACTTGAAATCCTCTGGCCTATGGCCTATCAGTTAGTTAGTTCTGAGAGAGTCCACTTGGCAGCAGTATCTGCTCTGCATCCACCAGTGGATGGGTTTTCCATCTTCTCACTCTCTCTGGTTTCCAGATTTTTTTAAAAAGTTTTGTCCGACATCTACACATATGTCTGATCCAGTACCATTATGGAATCTTAACCCAGTCTTCTCTAGACTAGAGGGTTCTTCCTTTGAACCCAGGATGACAGCCTCACTATCCCTGGTGTCTATGAAGACGGCATTCCTAATAGCAGTCACTTCTGCAAAGGTGAGTTTTGAACGTTATGCTCTCTTAGCTGATCTTCCTTTCACAGTTTTTCATAAAGACAAAGTTTCTCTTAAGCCATACTCTAAGTTTGTCAAAAGCAGTTTCAGCTTTCAACCTGAAATCAAACCATTCGTCTTGCAGTGTTATTTCCAAAATCTTGCTCTTCCGAAGCTGAAGAGAAGCTCCACACCTTAAATGTTCACAGAGCTCCAGCATTGTATCTGGATTGCACTAAGTCCTTCAGACCTTCTCTCCCAGGCTTATTGTAGCCTACAATGAGAGAGTTAGGGGTCAAACAAATTTCTCATTGGGTTTCTGATGCATTAAGCTGTGCTGCAGCTTTCCTAAGATCTCCTCCTCCTCTTCTCAGGACAATAGCTCGCTCTACTAAAGGTCAGTCTCCTTCATCAGCTTTTCTGAGCAACGTCCCTCCGTCTGTTCCTACCTTTTTCCAGACATTACCATCACTCAAGCCTTCGGCAAGTTGGTGCTACAGTCTCTGTTTCAGGTGATCCAATGTCCCGTCACCTGTAAGGGAACTGCTGATGTGTCATCCAAAGTGGAATGTATATGTGCACAATCAGGTGAAGGAGAATCCTAGAATATCAGGGTTGGAAGGGACCTCAGGAGGTCATCTAGTCCAATCCCCTGCTCAAAGCAGGGCCAATCCCCAAACAGAATAAACTGTTACTTACCTGTATAGTAACTGTTGTTCTTCGAGTTGTATAGTAACATATACATTCCATGATCCTTCCACTTCCCTGCTATTTCAGACATTATATATACAGAAGTGTGAAGGAATGGAGAGGGAGGCAGTAAATATGCCCCTTCTATGTCCTTGACTCAGCACATGAAGAGAGCAGGGGTGCATTGTGCGCATATACACCTGAAGTGGAATGTATATGTGCCCATCTTGAAGAACAGTTTCTGTACAGGCAAGTAATTTTTTTTGGAGGGGGGGAGGGCACTAAATGCACTAAATAACTACTTTTTTTTTTTCCAATGACCTATTTGGAAAACCCAAAGAGCTTAAACATTACCAGAAACAAAATAATTAGAACTCAAGGTTACCTCTTGATTTGAAAGTTTTCGTGTATTAAAAATCTATGTTCAACTAAAAAAGTGTTATTATTTGTCATTGTTTATAATACTGTATTCCTATTGAAATACTCTGTTTAGAGGGGAAAGTGCTGAACAGTTGGGTATTACGATTAGTATGCTAAGTTTATGAAAAACTGAGCTGATCTTGGTGGCATGTCCTCATACGAGGAGGGAATTATTTAATGCTTTGGGTTTATGTTCTTGTCTGAGAAAATTACAAGTTTTCCAGTTTTCGTTTTACAACTGTATTTTGTATAATTGCTTGTATTCCAACAGATGGGCGCAAACCTTTTCCAATAAACCATGGACAAACTAGTGATGACACCTTTTTAGAGGTAAGAATAGAAAAATCCTTTAAGTTTTTGTGCAACTTGAACTTTATGCACTTCCTTGATATGTAGTTGGGTAAGGGAAGGGATAAGAGGAAAAGGCCTTTAATTAGTTCTCAGCCAGGAGTATTTCAGAATACCCATGCCGTTACTTCTGTGTGTAACAGAACATTTTAATATGGTGGACAAGAGCTGCTTGAGCAGAAATCTTGTAAGGGTACCATACCCGTAGATCAGGTTACTTTTTCTCCCATGTTGAGGTGTTCCTATGCTTCTGTTGCTCTCAAACCATGCATACATGATGGGGGAGCCCTGAAATGACCAGTGTCTGAGGACTTTTGAGCGAAGGTATTTTATTTTCCTTCCCTTTATTTCCTTTATAATTTGAGAGATGCCATGCTAACAAAGGGTGCACTCTCTCTCTTCCAGCATTTATAGTCTTTGTCCTAGTTCTCAACCCCCACAATTTGTGTTCTACCTATTCCCTTCTAACCTCTTTTATCTTAAACGTACTTGCTCATTGCTGCTTTAATGTGCTACTCCTTGGGGGAATTCTGCACCACAAAATTAATAATTTTGCACACAGTATTTTAAAATTCTGAGCAATTCTGCATATTTTGTGAAAATAACACAATGTAATCATGCCAGTTTCAATTATTTTGGTAATTTATTTCAAAATACCTGTCAGCAAGTATGTCTGAAACAATACAGATGACAAGAAAGATTCAGGAAATGTTTTTTGAAAAACAGATTCCCTACTATCCATATTAATATAGAACTTTGAGTAATTCATTTAAACTACAGTACAGAAATGTATTTCCCACACCTATCAGAAGCAGCGTAAAGGCTTCAGATAGTCAGTGGTAATAGAGGAGCTGAGGGAGAGGGAAGAAGCCTGGGAGTGAACCTGAAGGATTGTTGGGCATGGGTAGGAGAAATATGGAACAGTTTTCTTTGGGTGGGGTACGGATTGTTAGGGAGCTGGGGAGTTCCCCCCATGCAGACTCTGACCCCAAGCCTCTCCCAGTCAGTCAGGCACATCTTCTCCTGTCCCCATGTAGCCCTGCACTCCCCTATGCCCCTGCCCATTCTACACCTGGCTCAATGCTGTCACCCCACTAGCTCCTGAGTCCACGCCCCAGTCTGTCCCCCCACTAGCACTTTTGACTCCCAGTCTGACCCCCACCCCCTCAGCAGCCCCATGTGCCCCTCTCTGCCTCCTAACCTGGCTCCACGGGCAGGTTGCTGTGGCAAATGCAGCTAGCTGTTACTGCCAGTCGCTGGCTGTTCTGGCGCAACAGCAGGCTCCGGTGGGTAAAAGGTGGAACTGTAGCACTTCGTGGGCAGAATGCATTTTCTACCGGGGGGGGGGGGGAAATTCTGCACCAACATGAATTATGCGCATTGGCACAGAATTCCCCCAGGAGTAATGTGCCCGGAGCTGTTTGACTGCAAAATGGATCCAAAGGGAATACGTTTGGTTTGAGAATAAACTTTTCTCTCACACAAGTAATGCCAGTTGGGGAACAGATAGCACCATTACTCCTGGGGGAATTCTGGTTCAAAAAATTAAAAATTCTATGCACATATATTAAAATTCTGAGCAATTCTGCATATTCTATTTGTCAAAATAACATAATATAATCATGCCAGTTTAAATTATTTTGGTAATTTATTTCAAAATACCTGTCAGCAAGTATGTCTGTAACAATACAGACACACACACAAATTCCCCCAGGAGTAGAGAGTTAAAGAAACCTCTGCAGCAACCCAGTTCCTGCTTTTCTGCCTCCTCTCCCCCAGAGCCCAGATGAGGGGCCAGACACACCCCCTTCTGCCCAGAGCCCAGCCATGTGGCCCTCCCTGGCCCATTCACATCCCCTACCCTCTAGAGGCCAGCCTTCAGACATTCACAGAGCCTACCCTCCTAGACCCCCAGGGATCCAGATGGAGAAACAGCCTGATGATGCTGGGTCCCACAGAGTTTCCTGCGCACTACTGCCTCCTTCCTTCAGGGGGTACTGAGAACTGCAGCTGCTGGAAATCCTCCAGCACACCCCCCCCCCCCCCGCTCCTCGCCATCCTTGTCTTCTATTTGTGAGCTGGGCTCTGCTGGGTGCGGTGGCCCCTAGTGGCGTCCAATATCTCTGCAGCCCATTTCTGTCGGGGGAGGAAATTCCACACGCCCAACGTTAATTTCTGAAAAGTTCTGCATTGCGCAGTGGTGCAGAATTCTCCCGGGAGTACACCACGCATAGAGAGCTAACATTTATGGTCACTTTACATAATCTTTGGGGAAGCAAGAGGCTGGAGACACACAGGCTGCTTTCTTTAAGTTGCCAGTCACTTTTTCTTAAATTACACACACTGTGTGTGTGAAATGAGTGCATATTTTCCTTTTTTATTCCTTCACATGCCTCATATTTTCTAACACAAATAACAAGCACTGTGTGGTGCACCCTCAGTCTAGATTAGATACAGGAGTTATATACAGTCTTCCACTTTCCCAACATACAAAGCTGGTGATGTTGCTTAGGAGTTCAGTTACATCTGCAGGTGAAGGAGAAAAGTTTCTGAATGCAGCAGTACTACTAAAGACAAACGTGCAGAAAGAATTATCTAACTGCCTTATCTTTTGAAATGTAACCCATAATGTTCCATACTGTTAGATGCAACAACTAAATAAATCATCCTTGTTCCTGAGGTTCAAAACACTTGCTTACGTTGGGCACAGCAAGTAATATTTAGCAGTGTCAACTCAGATTAGAAATTAATTCCAGTTCAGTTTGACACCCTAGTAAAGTTTGTGTAGAAAGTGAAAGAATCATGAGGGACATAACTGCTGTAAATCATAGTTACAATACTGTATTTAATTCATGTGCCAATTGCTTAATTGTTTTTAGTAATAGTGTGTTTTTATATAATAAGTAGTGATTGTGTGTTTTCATATCTTATTTTTTAAATAGGATGCAGTAGAAGTTTGCAAGAAGTTCATGGAACGTGACCCAGAAGAATTAAGATTTAATGCAATTGCTCTGTCTGCAGCTTAACTATCCCATTTGGAAAAGCTGCACCACTAATCTACTGAAACAAAACAAAAATATTGCCATATATTAATGTACGACTTTTGATACTTTCACTAACATGTTGATGATGTGAGTATATATGGATTAAATCTTGAATTAGTCTTTACTGCATCTTGTTGCTTGTTCCTAAGGCAATTGTTTTGAAACAAAATCTTACATATACACACCAAAGATCTTCCATGCAGTTGACTTTCATCTTTCCTTTTAGTTATTCTGAATTATTCCCCTATGATATTTTATCCCAGTTCATCAACTAAGTAAAGAGTAGATAACCAGAAGACCAGAATTGAACGTATGCATTCAGACACACTTCAGGGACTACACTGTACATTGATGAACAACAGTAGAGATGTAAAATGTAGGGCTCTTTGTTTTTCAAACTGTTTTGTAGTGATAAATTAATATAAAAATAAATTAACATTAATACACTTAAAGCACTTATTCAGGTCAGTCAGAAAACCAAAAAGTAGTTTTCATTAAAATATTTATAAATGCAAAGAGATTTTGAAGAGGCTTAATCCCAAAAAGTTACCATCAGTAAGTAGCCGTAGCTGTTTTTCTCTGATCCAGGCAGTTTAAGTACTAACATTATATAATTAAACTTAATATTTTTAATTTTGGGCACATCTGCCTGGGCACCAGCCAGGGGTAGCATTGAGAGCGTAGGGGAGAGAGTTTCCCTGCACTCAGTTCCTGTGCTTGGTGCCACAGTGGCCCCTAGCAGTCAGGAAAAGCAATGGCAGGGAATGTCCTGCTCATCACCTCTCACTTCAGATTGGCGCATGCTCATTTGCTCTATGGGAGTGGTGTAGGAGCAGTGTGGTCAGCACACGGGGATGGAGCATGATCAGTGTGGGTGTGAATTTAGGAGAATTTAGCTGCTAAATTCTTACAAATCTATTAAGAATATGCAAACTGAGGAGGTTTTGGTTTTTTCAAAGGCTTGCAGCATGTCCAGATTTTGGTAAATTTTCACAGGGATGGCAAAAGGCACATCTGACAATAGGGTGACTGTCTCTCACCAGCTTTCATCTCCCTGTTCCAAAACATGAAACTGTTGTTAGAGCTTCTCAACAAAACAATTTTTAACATTGTCAAGATGTATTTTCCCTAACCTCAGTCTTGAAAATGTTTGAATCTTTTAAGCTGAAACTTTCTAAATAAATAAATAAAAAGGCAGTCTTAGGCAGCAGACACATGATGTGGAAACATTTCAGTCCAAATGCTGAAGTTTCTCAGTCATGAAAACGGGTCTGTAATGTAAAGTGTCAGGTAACCTTAACTGTAGATGTTTGCTACTTGATGTTGCTATGTCTGCGTCATACAATATTGTATCCTTTAACAGCCATCCTTAAAGCTTCCTACATATATTTGACTCAGTTGAAAAGCAGATTGCTAGAGGGTTTGTAGATTTCAATGTGTTTTTGTGTTTAGAAAATGTGTGTAGTGGCTGTAAATCAAAAGTACCCTTTTAAAAATGTCTTGAAACCTGTCTTGATTGCACATAGTATTGTACTAAATATGTAGTACAGCTGTCTGTGGAAAAACATGACACAAGCTTTTGCTTTAATTATCACTTGGGGGTACACACACTAAAAGGATCAGTCTTAGTAAAATATTGTCTTCTCCATGTTCATTTGCTTTTAGCACCAATTTATAGATTCCTAGATTATGTAGCCAGAAGGGATCACCATGATCAACTAGTTTAACCTCCTGCAAAACACAGGTCATAGAACTTCCCTGAATTAATTCATGTTTGAAATAGAGCATATTTTTTAGGAAAAAATCCAGTCTTGATTTAAAAATGTCCAGTGACAGAATCTACCACAACCTTGGTAATTGTTCCAATGGTTAATCACTCTCATTAAAAAAAACCTGTGCCTTATTTGTCTAGCTTCAACTTCCAGCCAATTTGATGTATCACGCAGCACAAGTACATAATGATTCTAGCTGTAATGGTACAAAGCCTCTACTCCATGAAATTGCTTCACATCCGAGAACTATCAGGTGTATCGACTCTGTAACCACCATGTGTGACATATTTCCAGTGGGTGATAATACATTACCTGAATTGATACATAGATTACTACCTCTCATTTCATTGTCCAGAGCCAATGGTAAGTTTAAAGTTAAACAGTTCGGACTTTCAGCTCCATTCCTGCAACAGCTCTGTAATATTTGTACCTTTTTTCTCCTGTACCATAATTTTTGCACTATGCTGCATGTAATGTAACTGGAAGAGACATATCAGTAATAATTGTAAATATTACAGTAACCAAAACACCACAAGCATGTGAACTTCCCTTTAGAAAGCCCAAATTCTGAGTATAGAAAATTTGGCGATGCTTCAGCAAACCTAGAGAATACTCTGTGTTGAAATTTGTTCCATGAATGAATGTCCCTAAATTCTGCCACATTGCTTGTAGCAACTTCACCCTTAAGATTTTAGGGCCACTGCTGCTATGACCCTAAATCTTGTTTCTGACCTGATGCCTGAGTGAAGCTGTTTCTACTCAGTTCAGTGTGGCACAGGTGAAGTGTAGGAGCCATTTGTTCTCCTTTTACTGCTTGCTGCAACAAAGGTTAAAGATGTTCCTAGTGCTTGAAACAGCTGAGTTTCTGGCTAGGTAGTATTCTAGTCCTTTTGGTAAAGAAGATTTACCTCTAGAGGGCATTACCTAGTTGATTCCACTCATTCCTGAAGCTCCTTGTATCCTCTCAGTTAGTTGCTGAAACCATAATCTTACTCTATGTTTTAAGTCACCTTTGCCTCAAGATCCTTTGTTTGTCCTATTAGTGTGGCGTCAACGCCAGCTTCTTTCACTATTCAAAATCTCAGCATATATAAACTGCCATTGCACTGTGTTCCCAATGTGTGATGACTGGGATGGAACTGCCTTTACCTCTTAAAATGGCAACCCAGTTGTTCTGTGGTGAGTGTTCTTGGGAGAGTGTACTATGGCACTCTCCCAAAAAGGTTGATTGGGAAGATATGGGCAAAGGTAACATGTCTGGTTTGCCAGCAAAGAGAAAGTGTCCAACATGCAGTATAAAAAGCAGCTTGATGCAAAAGACTGTCAAACTGGTCTTTCATTGAGTGAGAATTTCGATAAAGAAAAGAAACCTTTTAAAAAATGAACAGATGCAGGTACTTGTACTTGGTTTACATGATGCAAATTATCTGTCTTCCTACTACAGACCTCTTGCTATTCACCCAGCTTGAAATGAGGGAAATTAATAAACAAGTACCTGATTTGTCAATGCCTCATTTTCTACCAGCTCCCGTTACCATCATAAAAAAGCCTCTGAGAAATGTTCCCTGTGCATCTAAAACCCTGATCTAGTTTACAGCCAGAGATCAAATACATTTTGTGGAGCAGCCAAAATTACATTTATAATTGTGATCTGTGGATTAGGACAATTTGCTATCCTTAGTGAAGTTGCACCAATGCAGGTCAAACAGAAGCATGAGTAGATATGCTAAAAATCCAATTTGTGTATCATAGATTTGAATGTAAGGAATCAGATTTCATAACAGATATATTAGAATGAAGTTCATAATAGCTTGAGGCAGGCAATTTGGTTTTTTCAATATGCAACTGATTGAAATCCAAGTATGCTTTTTACAAGCAAACACATTTTAGTAAAAATTGTTGGAATTTCTTTCACACTTACCAATAATATTGTGCATCTGGTATGGCTTTCATTTATGTATACTGCAAAAACTTTTATCCAAGGAAGTTTTAGTGCTTTCAGCCTAGCAATACTATCATGAGTTAGTGTATTTGTTAACGATTAATAGGAGCTGAGGATTCACAGTACTTTAAGATCTAGCTTTTAAATGATTACTACTTATGCTTGGTTTACAACTAAGTTCTTGATGTTTTTAAATCTAAAACCTTGATGGATGTGCAGCATTCTGTCAGCCACTGGCAAAATATGAATAAATGATAACACCCATTAAACTTTTTTGCTTATAGAAAAACTGTTTAAAAAGTGTAACTGAAAATTTAGTGCAAAAATTAGCATATATGTAATTTTAAGGTAATTTTAAATGTCAGGAAATTTTAAACAATGATTTCTTAAAAGATTGCACATTTCCTAATGGATACAGGGTTTCAAATTATACCACCATTCTACATACAGACCTCCCCTTTACCCAGATGAACATGGTTTCTGATATGATGGTAGATTTGCAAATTACTGAACTGGATATGAGCAGTTTGGTCTGATCTAGTCATCACACCTGTATCTAGTTGGAGTGGCAAATGAATGTGCCTGCTCTCTACAGAAGAGCAGGAGAGAAACTGCCTAGGGACATCTCTGGGCATAGTTCTATCTAGAACAGTTGTATGTAGTTGCCACAGAGACCAGAGCACAATATCCTAGAGAGAGCCAAACTCAAGAACAACTGGAAAGTCAGAATATAGAAGATTTTGGTAGAAGAGAGGAAAGATTATAGAGTAACTGGGACAGGAAACAGCAAGGAGAATACATGGGCAGGAGAGAGGAAGATACAGGGGCAAAATAGATCAATGGACATTATGATGCGTATCACTGTTGGCAGTCTCAGCAGACTCCAATCACTGAGGATATGTTTACACTGCAATGAAAGATTGGGCTCCTTCTCAGGCTCAAGCCCAAACTCACCTTCTGTCTACATACAATTCTGTCTGACTCGGGCCAGCAAGCGGCCACAACTGGGGAGGGAGCTAAGAAGCCTGTGATATGGTGGCCTGATTCAGGTCTGCTTACTACCATGTAGACTGGAGCATGGGTGTGGGGCCTCGGTCCAGAAAGTCTAAACCTTAGGCTCACCAATGAGTGTGGACACTCAAGCCCTGAGCTTTCAAGCCCAGGGTCCGTGGACTCAAGTCCTACTAACCCCTGACTTGCATTGCAGGGTACACATATCCTTAGTAGACACACTGAGCAAATTAACTCCCTTCGATAACTTAAAGGGATTCCTATAGGTCAGGCTTGAAGCATAGTAGTAAGACTGTAGGGAAGCTTGCTACTGGAACTTGCACCACAATCATTGTGAGTATAAAATGAGCAGTTCAGACTCCAGTACAGAATTCAAATCCTATCTAATATAAGGGTTCAGAGTAGGAGCCGTGTTAGTCTGTATTCGCAAAAAGAAAAGGAGTACTTGTGGCACCTTAGAGACTAACCCATTTATTTGAGCATAAGCTTTCGTGAGCTACAGCTCACTTCATCGGATGAAGTGAGCTGTAGCTCACGAAAGCTTATGCTCAAATAAATGGGTTAGTCTCTAAGGTGCCATAAGTACTCATTTTCTTTTATCTAATATAAGTGGTAAAAAGCCCCCCCCCCCCCCCCCAGATATCAAATTGACTGGCATCTTTAAGGAACAGTTAAAACCCTCACCTCCACAACATTACACTAATGATTAAGTGTATGAAATATAACATAGATTAAAGAAATGGAAAATGTCCACTCAGGACCGGCTTTAGGGGTGGACGGGCTGGGTGGTGTCCCAGAGGACGCCGTGTGCAGAGTTTGGTACCTGAGTCCCCCCTGACCACCAAGAGCTAGCTGGGCTTACAGAGGCAGCCAAGCGAGCAGAAGCATCTGGAGAGGGCAAAGGAACCCAAGCTATAGGGGGGCAGTTGGACAAACAGTAGGGTGACCAGATGTCTCAATTTTATAGGGACAGTCCTGATTTGGGGGTCTTTTTCTTATATAGGCTCCTAAACCCTCCACCCCCTGTCCTGATTTTTCACACTTGTTGTCTGGTCACCCTAGCAAACAGCCAGGTGACTCCTTTGGAACAGGGATGCCGCTCCTCCCCCATTCCATTGCCATGTAGCTGTTGCTCCTGTTCCCCCCCCCCCCCCCCCCAGCCAAGCTGATCACTGGGAGCATCCTGTCTGCTGTGCAGAGCAGCAGGGCTTGAGGGGTGGGCTGATGTCGGGGTGTGCCCCTCCCCCTGCCCATGTACCTGGTCTCCACTGAGCTGGATGGCAGGACGGGGAGAACCTGTCTGTACTGCTGCCTCTCTGGGTCTGGAGTGGGAGCTGCCAGTGGCTGCTGGTGTCTGAACAAGCCTTCAGGCTCCCGACTCTGAGTGCTTTCTTAAAAACATAGTGAACTGACACACTCACTCAGGCACACACACTCTGTCTCTCCCATGCACACACTCTCACACATGCATGCTCTCCCACACTCCCCCAATACACTCATATGCACACATTCCCCTCAACAGACACACTTATATGCTCTCTTGCACACTCCCCAACACACTCTCACAAACATGCTCTTTCTGTCTCACACATGCGTGCTCTCTCTCATGCACATGCATGCTCTCACACACTTCCTCAACACTCACACACTCCCCCAAAACACACACACACTCTCTCACATAGTCTCCCCCACACAGTCTCCCCAACACACAAGCTCTTTCAGATGCACTCTTGTATTATTGTTGTTGTTGTTGTTACTTCTTGGTACTTCCTTTCAAAATGTGCAATGCACATATATTCTCTGTAATTTTATTCTTTCAAAGTTCATTATTTTATTTTATTTTTTGAAACACTTAACTTTAGACATTCAGAAGATGAGGGTTGCTTACTTTCAAATTGTATTTTTAGTTAATTTGTAAAATAACTTAAAATTTGTACAAAAATAAATGTGGTTTCAAGTCTGATACTAACAGTAATGATGGAGTCAAATGTTAGTGACTCATGTACACGATTGTGGTCAGTAAACATAAATGCCAAAATAACTAGAAAAATAATTCCCCCTTCTTAATAAAAGAGGGGAAAAATCCTTAACTGAGTATGTTAAAATTAGTGTGTTTAGTGGAGTGAAAAGCAATTGATTAAAATAGAGTAGATAATGGCAGTAACAGAGAGTGGGGAAGAGAAAGTAAGACAATTTTATTTATCTCTAGTAAAGATCGTGTACAAAGTATCAAATTTGTGTTTCTGATATCTGTGTTAAAGCTCCAGAACTGATATTTCAAGGCTTGGGATTGGGCTATCATCCTTTATTATCTCCTGATTGTTCTAAATTTACATATAAATTTAAAATATGGTTTAATTGGTGTTTGTATATATGTATATTTCCCTTTCTTTCTATAGGAATTAGATACAGTGCTTCAGTCAGCTAATTTCTAAGCTGTTATTTGCAAAAAAAAACCCAACCAACCAACCAACCAAACTAGTTTTCAGGTGCTTAAGTAGCTCCTGGAATCACAAAGTTGCCCCCTCAATTTGAAATGGCACCCCTTGGAGGAGGAGGTGGTGCCTCAGGGCCCGAGGGCTGCAGGAGGGCCATGGGCTCTGGCAAGATGCAGCCCTTGTGTGACAGCGTGCAGCCTGCCTTGAGCCACAGACCAAGCACCAGGCACCTCAAGCCACAGCAACAGTGCAGAAGTAAAGGTGGCAATACACTAGATACCATGCCACCTTACTTCTGCGCTGCTGCTGGCGGTGGTGTTGCCTTCAGAGCAGGTGCCCGCTCAGCAGCTACTGCTCTCTGGCTGCCTAGCCAGTGCTTAATCTATACTGGGGCTGAGCTCTGGCACCTTTTTCAATTCAAATTAAGCATTGGGTGGGGAAGGCAGCAGGGCCCAGAGGTGATGGGGCCGTGGGGAGCCTTGGGGACCAGGGGCAATGGGGGGGTGCTCACGGAGTCCAGCGGTGCCAAAATACAAGTTCGCCCAGGGCACCATTTTCCCTAAGGCTGACCTTGTGTCCACCCTAACTAGAGGAGTTCAAAGAGTCCCTAGAGCTAAAAGGGAAACGTAGGGGGTGGTGGTCACAGGATACTGGAATCTTGCCTCTGGCATTTTTACTTGTGCCTTTGGAGACAACACAAGGAGTGACTGACATAGAGACAATACAGAAGGCGGTCCCCATCCCTTTGGACTGCCACAAAAGTCTTTACTCTCTCAGATTCAACAGGAAAAACCACTGCAGTCTGTATCCTAACAACACTACCCTTGCTCCCAGTGGTGATAATTGACATGGGCCCTAGGCATCTGCACTAGGGAGGTTGCCTTTGGGCTTTTTGGAAGAGTGGGTGAGGGCTTAACAGTAGCTAACAACTTAGCACCATTTAATGGGAAAGGAATCCAAACAAGTAACCCGTCTTTGGAGCCCTGCCCGACATGCCTGGGCTGAGGGTGGGCTTTTTTTTTTTGGCCAAGGAGGCACTGGCGCACCCCTGCTCTTAGGAAAGACGCCCGGGGTGCTGTGGCTCTGCAGGCAGCACAAGGGAAGCTGCTGTTCCTTTTAAGGACTTTAGGAGAAAGAGGAGCCCTGTGCCTGTAGTAAACTGCGGCGCCCTCAGGGTCCCTCCACCTGGGCACTCGGCTGAAGAGGGGGGAGGGCTACTTGCCGGGCCAGTTCGGGAGCTGTCCTCGCTTCGCTCAGCGAGCCCGTTCCCTCCCCCCGCGGCGCGGAGAGGGGGCGCTGCAGGGCACCTGCAGGCGCGCGGCACAACCAAGGGGCCAAGGCGAGGCCGGCGCGTCCTTCGGCGGCGCTTCTTTTACCTGCCGCCAGGTGGGGCCGGGCCGCTGCGCCCCGGGAGGGAGAGGGCGGGACGCTTGGAGCCAGGGCGTGAGGAGCGGAGCCGCCAGACTGCGCTGCAGGCGAGGGAGAGTCGCCCCGGGCGAGCAGCGGCAGGTAAGAGCCGCGCGGCTGGGGAGGCGAGGGCGGGGCGCGGTCCAGTCCCCGCTCGGCATTTGTGGGTGGCGAGCGGCGCCGGGAGGTGCAGCTGTCCGGAGCTATCCCCGGTGCGTGTCGGAGCCGCTGCGCGGGCTGGGGGCGCTGCTCCGGCTGTGTGGGGAGCCCCTTGCCCCCCCATCCAGCCAGGCTGCAGCAGGGGGCACGGGCGGGCATGTCCCAGCCCCGGCTTTCCGGACACTTGTCCCGGGGGACGCGAAGCTGAACCCCTAACCCGGGCATAGCGGGTTCCTTCCCCCCAGGAGGAGGAGGAGGAGGAGCAGGAGGCGGCGGCTCGCGGCCCCGGGGCTGGAAGCAGCTGCTAGAGGCTGGCTGACATTCTGGGGGTGCTGCTGCTTTTGAGGGGGGGGGCGGGGGAAGGGGAGAAATGCGGTTCAACCAAACTTCCCGCCCTCCCCTCCGCCCCCCTCCCATCCTCCGCCCCTTACTGGGGTGACTCGGATTTGGTCTCGAGACAGCGGCTTCTTCAGATTCTTGTGGTTTTCGGAGCCTTCCCAGACTCCCGGGAAGGGGGCGGGGAGGAGCTGCCCGGAGCGTTCAAAAGCCCTCGCGGAGCGCCGGCGGCTGTCTCCTGCTCCAGTCCCACCGGAGCGGCGGCGTTGCTGGGGGTTGTCCACTGATCTCTCGCTTCCCCACCCCTTTTCTCTTGCTTCCCAGCCATGGAGGGGAGAGAGGATGCTGAGGGCAGCTGCGATGTAGCTTTTGCTGAAGCTCAGAGATGGGTGGAGGTGAGAGGATTTTTTAAAAATTGTCTTGACTGACTGCTTTGCTTTATAGCTTGAGTCTTGTCCACCAGCTGCTAAACATTTCCCCACAGACCTGGGGACTTCCCTTCGCTAATAAGGGGGCGTCCAGCGCTGATGGAGCTTAGGTGCTTGTAAACCTTAGTGTTTGTCCATCTCTGACTGCTGGAGAAAGAAATGCTCCCTGCTCTTCAAGGTGAAGTTATCCTGCTCCCAGCCTTTCCACACGGTTTATGTTTGTTTTCCACTGATGCTGTCTGGGGCGTTTCAAAGGAAACGATAGGGTCCGCATTATTTTAGCAGGGAATCTGATGAGCTCAAAGCCTGGGCGAGGGGGAGAAGGCTGCATCTGTGGGCAGCACGGAGGTTGTCTGCCCTACTTGGTTTGTGAGGGCTGCGAGTTCAGAGCAAGTAATTGAAGAAAAGCGACGCTGTAAACCGAAGTTTATTTTTTTTAATTTGTTTTAGCGGGTAGTTGAGGGAAGCTTGGCCTGCAAGAGACTTGTTTACAAACTTTCTAACTTCTGAATAGCTGCAGTTCATTTTGTGTAGAATGTGTTATTAAAAGCTTCCGTGCTTCATAACTTAAAAACAAAAATAAACCCTTCCGTTAAAGGATACCAGGGCTTTACCCCTGTAATTACCATTTACAATTTTGTGATGACTTTTTTTAGTTCTTTTCCTGGGACAGCTTGATCTAATCACCCCCATAGTCTTCTGGAAATTATGGGTAACCTGTATCTGTGTGAGTTGTGAACTCTGATTCTTGGTTGATATAACTTGTTTATGTGTAGACGGATACCAGAACTTTTGTAGCTTGTGGCTGTGGTCACTGTACAGAACAGCATGTAAAGGGATGGTTGTTCAGCGGGTGACCTAGAGTGTGCATATTGCTAGTGTGAATTACAGCGAGTAATGTGATTGGTGTAGTTTATCCCTGACATACAATTGCATGGTATGTGTTCAAGTCAAGTTACTGTTTAAGATGAGTACACTAACTTTAGTGCATTTCTGTAAATTTTAGAGAGACTAATACTCTGGCTCCAACTTCAATCATTTTGTACGTTTATAAAGAACTCTTATTTTTTTAAAGTGTATATAGCAACTTAAATTTTTTGACTATACACATGCTTCAAAATACTTGGTTTTTAAAACTAAATAGTCAAGGAAACACCTTTTAATTTTTTCCTTTGCTTACTTGTCAAATCCTGGATTCAGGATTCTCTCTTTCCTGTTTGCAAATTGATGACATCCTTGTGCCTAAAAACTGTGCAGGGATTTTAGAGGATTATCAACTCAGGATATGGCAAGTAAATGGCACTTTTGTACTCCCGCTTTAAGAATAGTTATTTTAAGGTCAGTGCAGTTTATACTTAATGACATTAACTCACTTGAACAAAAACATATTTGAAAACCTAAATTTTTTTTAAAAAAATTTCCATTTAACTTTGGCTGGTCATACCAATCAAAAAAAGTTTTCTCTTCTACTGATAATACCAAACAGAGAGGAGTAGCAAGTGTAAAGTATTTGGTACTTCTTGCATAGTGTAAAAACAGAGCTTTAAACTTCTGTTTAGCTTGTGTGATGTAATATAAATATGCTTTGTTTCTGAATTATGAATTCTTTATTAATTTATTCTTTAGCATTTAGTAATCTGACCTGCCTGGATAACATTCAGATTTTAAAATATAAAATGTTTTCAATACCTTTATTATAACCTGTTTAAAAAATAAAAAATCCTTTTATGTTCGGGGCAAATGTAAATTTAAATGTGTTTACTTTGAAATTCAAGCTTTGCTTTAAACCAATTATAGTCTCTCTTGCTATGTGTTGTTTTTAATTAAATCCAGTTATAAAAAATACACAGAAGTCATTTGGTATGAGTAACTTTGGCTATATCAATTAACTTTTCTCTTAGATATTGGCCCGGTAAAGTTTTCTGATGAGATAAACTTTCAAAAAGATTACAGTATTATGTTAACACACACTAGGGAATTTTAGTGTGCACCAGCAGGCCAGTTACACTAGTCAGTTAGCATGCAACATGTTGGTGCATGTTAGAATTCACACACATCTAGTGTGTACTGCTGCACTGTGTAGACAAGACCTTAGATCTGAAACTTGTTGCATTTGGTTAAGTTAACAGTAAACATTTGTTAACTCTGTGCATCCTAGTGAAATACAGCAACATAAATCTATTAGAAAGTAACATTTAAAAATAGATCAACCTCGGCAGATGCTGTTGAGTGCTCTGAATTTCTGAAAATCAGGCAGGTTCACAAATATGTATCCAGGAGCCTCTAGTTAGGCTTCTATTTTTGAAAATCTTGCCTACATTTTTAGATTAACAATTTTCTTGCAGTTTAAACCTAGTTTCTTTGTTAGAAATGCTTGCTTACTTGAGGCATTTTTTCACTTTGCAAAGCAAAACCTTCTAACACTGGAGGAAGATGAAAGGATACAAACACTAGCTACTTTGTGTATCTCTTTAAAAAAAGAAAACTTTTTTGTAAACTGCAGTTTATTGCCCTTTGCGGTGAGTCCTCCGTTAGCTGAGATTTCAGTACTTCTACTTTTGGCATAATCTTTTTACAAGATGAGAAGACGAAAGGAAAGGAGTTTAAGGTAATCAGTAGTGCTAATGCTAGTAAGGGGAAGAGGTCACTTTTGAACACTGTGTAACAGTACATTCATTTAGAATGCAGGCCTTGTCAGTAAAGGACATATATATTTCACCAAGAGCAATCTTCAATGAAATCTGGACACAGTTCCACTTTCTAAAGAATTTTTTGATGAGCACAGAGTTCAATATTCCAGCAGGAGATTGACTGACCATTTTCAGAAAGGTAGATGTTTTTGGAGCTTCCTAATTTTCTCAGTGGCAGAGAATAGTTTGTATGAGCACAAAATGAAAACCACTTCCAGGCATCCTTATGCAAACAATTTCCTAAACCGGAGCACAGTAGAGCATTAGGTTTATAGACCATTACAGCTGAGACCTCTGGAGTCCCCCAAATCTATACAATAACAGCCATTGCCAGTCAAGACTATACAAAGCTTGGTTTTCATTTCGCATCTTGGTTGGGTAGGTGAGAGCCAATCACAGTTAGCATTAATTCCTGATGTGAGAAATGCCGTCTTCAAAATATTATTCTGATGGGGTAGAGGTATCCCTTCCTAAGGACAAGGTCACACAGCAAGCCTATGGCAAAGCCAGGAATAGAGTAGAACTCTGCTCTCTTAACATCCTGAGTTTTAACCACAAGACCATCCTTCCTCTCTTCTAACTAGGAAATAATCTGAATAGGTCTACTTCTCCTGTTGAACTCAGTATGGTTCCTGAGATGCCTGCTACTGTAAGGATAGTCTAAGAGGAATCAAAGGATTGGACTGAGTTTGATAATTGCAAGCTTAGAACTCTTTCCTTCCCCACTGCTTCAAGATGTGTGAGTAGACTACCCCTCTCCACAACCTAAGGACTCTTTCTAATGAATCTGGGTGGAAAAAGATATCTACTTACCACCATAGATGGTAATGTCAGGGGTAAGGATAGGAAGTGAACCTTTGGTCTGCCCCTCAAAGATTTCAGAAGGAAGGGTGGTTTCGGATTGCTAATGACTCCATTAGAATACATGCAGGTAAAGCAGTGGAGATATCAACTGTCTTATAAAACTACTGTTTTATTTGACAGGTTTCAGAGTAGCAGCCTCGTTAGTCTGTATCCGCAAAAAGAACAGGAGTACTTGTGGCACCTTAGAGACTAACACATTTATTTGAGGATAAGCTTTTGTGGGCTACAGCCCACTTCATCGGATGCACAGAATGGAACATATAGTAAGAAGATAGATAGATATATACACACACACACATACAGAGAACATGAAAAGGTGGAAGTAGCCATAGCAACTGTAAGGCTAATTAATTAATATGAGCTATTATCAGCAGGAGAAAAAACTTTTGTAGTGATAATCAAGATGGCCCATTTAGACAGTTGACAAGAAGGTGTGAGGATACTTAACATGGGGAAATAGATTCAATATGTGTAATGACCCAGCCACTCCCAGTCTCTATTCAAACCCAAGTTAATGGTATCTAGTTAGCATATTAATTCAAGCTCAGCAGTTTCTCCTTGGAGTCTGTTTTTGAAGCTTTTCTGTTACAAAATTGCCACCCTTAAATCTTTTACTGAGTGGCCAGAGAGGATGAAGTGTTCTCCTACTGGTTTTTGAATGTTATGATTCCTGATATCAGATTTGTGTCCATTTATTCTTTTGCATAGAGATAGTCTGGTTTGGCCAATGTACATGGCAGAGAGCATTGCTGGCACGTGATGACATATATCACATTGGTAGATGTGCAGGTGAACGAGCTTCTAACGGCGTGGCTAATGTGATTAGGTCCTATGATGGTGTCACTTGAATAAATATGTGGACAGAGTTGGCATCGGGCTTTGTTGCAAGGATAGGTTCCTTGTGTGGTTCGTTGTGTAGTTGCTAGTGAGTATTTGCTTCAGGTTGCGGGGCTGTCTGAAAGCGAGGACTGGTCTATCTCCCAAGATCTGTGAGAGTGAGGGATCATTTTTCAGGATAAGTTGTAGATCTTTGATGCACTGGAGAGGTTCTGATGAAGTGGGCTGTAGCCCATGAAAGCTTATGCTCAAATAAATGTTAGTCTCTAAGGTGCCACAAAAGTACTCCTTTTTTTTTTTTTTTTTTATAGTAGTAAATCTCTCCTTGGAAGTAATCCATGCAGATCCTGTGGGGGAAGGGTGAGGGGGATTGTTTGTTTTCTTTAAAAAGTTTCACTTCAGTGGCTTGTGACCTGTAGATCTGACACAACTTTAACTGATCCACTTAAGTGAACATAGATGTTAGGCCAAGCAACATTCAGCATTGCAAAATGTCAGGGGACCTCTTATGACCTATGTCTGTGGATTTTTTTCCCCCATTAATCAGTAGATCTAGAGTTCTAAAAATAGTCTCAT